TTAGCACACATGTCTATTTGAAATTCAATGGAAACCTAAGGTCTAGGCATAACATTGTGGGCAAATGGACACACATGCCAAATGCGAGTTTTACTTGCCTTTACAGCTGGCCAACACGCTGATTGGAGACTTGATGAGCCCAGTCGACTGGCTGTGGTTGTGATGATGGTGATGATGATGATGCTGATATTGTTGTCCGTCCAAGTGGAGTTGGCCACTTGAAAGTGTAGAATACCGACTGCCGGTTCCTGCGGCACTACCGAGGCTCGAGCTGGCCCGTACCTGCCCTCCACTCGAGGCCCGATGTCCCCGGCGTCTGGTCTGGGTCGGTAAATGACCTGCCTCTTTCCGGTTGTGGCTGTGCTGTTGTTGTTGTTGGAAGGCTGGGCTGTTGGGAGTGTATGCTCCATCGCAACTGCCCGGACCTGAGCGCCGGCGACGGCTGGCCTTGCCGCCGGGGGTCTGAAGGATGAGCTCCGTGTTCGTGTCCGACTGGTAGACGAGGAGACTGGCGTCGTCGGCCAGTCTGTCGGAGTAGCGATGCTGGCTCAGCGTGCTCGAGGCCTGCACGAGAGCGTCTGCCATTGGGGAAGTTGAGGCGACGGGCAGATGAGCGGCTGACAGACCCTCGGGACAGGTGAGCTCACGCGACAGCTCGGCCTCGAACAAACGACCGCCCAACTGGTGGTGCGAATAGGAGCGCAGCGCTCCGCCCGATGGCCATGCGGGCCCGGTCTGGCCGATCTCACCATCCGCGCTTCTGCCCGCCGCTTCGACCGCGTCGGCCCGCTCTTCTGTAGACTCGTCTCTGACTGGCCGGCTCGTCAGGGAGGACCACTCGACGCCGACGCCGACGCCGACGCCTGTTGCGTCGACATTCACCTGCCGATCTGTCGACTCCCCGCGAGTCGGCATGCTTGGCGTAGACTTGGCTTCGCGTAGCGGCTGCAGGCGTTTCTCCGGTTCTCCCAGCCCTCGGTGGCCCGACAAACCGGGCAGGCAGCAGTCGCAGTGTCGACGAGTCGACATGCCCTGCGGGCCGTCGGCTCGAGGCCCCGTCCGTTGGGGCGGCAGAAGCGTCGGACCAGTGGTACCGGTCTGGCGGAGCAGAAGAGCCGAACTGGTGATACCGATTGGGCCGAGCAGAGAAGCCGGTCCGGGCAGAAATGTCGAAGTAGTCGGACCAGCTGGACCGGGCAGAAGAGTCGATTTGTTGGTA